GGGGGATAGGTTTCCTGTGTTTTGGGGAAGAATTCTCTTTCCACAAATCTTTTTTAGTTACCTTTAAACTCTCATATCCATGATGGGAAACCAGCATAAAGCAATAACTGCACAGAGCTCATAGATTTATTAAGGAATAAGCGATTCACCAGAAGCTTGGTCAGGCACAAAAACTCAAAACGTGTCTTGTTTATTTCACACAAAGTGATCATACATGTGCTGAGAAACACTCTGTGATGTTGCATCTTTTAGCTTGACCCTTACAAAGATGGATGTTTCCCGGCTTGAAATGCAAATTGTGTTGTGTGTTTAGGTGGACAGACTAATGCTGTTTCAATCTGCTTTTACTTTCCCTGTGTGGATAACAGTGATGGAGATCTCATGTTCTCTTAGGGTCTTGTCAGGACCTACCAATGGATTATTCATGTTATTGCTGTCGCTACTTGGCCTTATGTGATGTTCAATAGCAATTTAAACACCTGAAATAAAAACAATACGAACAGAAATGGGCCGATACACAGCACTTTCTTTTTTACAAACCAGGAGCATTTATTAATGAAGAGTTTAACAATTATCACTTCTATCAGATAAGAGAGGTTTTTTATATATGTTTATACAGTAAATGAAATAAACCTTGAGCTTGCAAATTACATTTAAGTTGCTTTTTGAGAGGTCTGCATGCGTTAGGAAAAGAAAATCAATACAGAAGTTTTTGCTTGGGAAGTAAGGTCAACATTTCTTTTTCAAATTAGAAGAATGGAATAAAAACAGCCATGTACAACACACTGATAAGATACAACTTTTCACATGTTTTATTCTTGTATTTTAGTGGAGGAAATTTTCCATGTGATCAGCAACACAAGAAAAAGGCATATACATTTATTATGATTGAACCTCCTTATTTTTTAACAAATTTCAAATCTGTACTCACTGTCAAAGCACCCAGACCAGGAAGTAAAAAGAAAAAGTATTTTGTTTTTAAAAAGGTTGATTGTATTTCATTGATTTACAATATCAGATTCAGTTAAACACATAGTTGACAGTTTGGTAAAACTGGGGTCCCTTGTCAATAGGGTGTGGCAACCAATGAGATGTATTGAATAGAGGGGTTCTGCACACTTGAA